TCCCCCTTTGGAAAATTCTAATCCGACCCCATGGTACCTTTTAGTTTTCGCCGAAACCATTCCTCTTTTTTTTTAAATTGCACGTTAGTCAAAGGGGACCCATGCTCCCAAAATATCCACACAACACTCATCATTTATCATTTAAAGGGGACCTATCATGCAAAATGCACTTTTTGATGTCTTTTATACATAAACATGTGTCCCCGGTGTGTCGGGGAACTCACACACCGTCAGAAACTAAACCCTCTCTCTTTTCCTCCGTACCCAAATCTCTAAAAACGGGGGAACAACGGAGCTGATCCAGATTTGCGTCCGATATGACGTAATATCTGAAATGTGGACCCACGGCCCTACCAGAAACGTTGCTATGAGAAACAATGCCCGACTGTTCTGGACGTAATATGGTTGGTGTTTACATTAGCATCGCTAACACTCAGAGCTAACCTGTACTGGAGAGCATGTGTGTGAAGAAGCAGGAAGTAAAAAGGAACTCACCTTGTGGTATAACCGGCAAGAGAGAAAGCCTTTGAGCTCCATACTGTTTCAGAAATAATCCTTGATAATCCATGATATGGCGTTTCATCACGGCAGTATTTAGTTAGACAGTAGCTGCCGGGTCCAGCATGAGCTCAGACCCCTCTTTTTTTTTTTTATCAAATGTATTTTTTTTAAAGCTTTATACCCCAAATCAGCACTTTTGAAACAGGAAGTGAAATAGAGGGATATGAGCCATGGCTAGAATGGGGGATCTGTTTGGTATTTTGAGCAAAACACTTCATAGACATGTTTTTTATATATTTCTTTGTATCTGAGACCCATGCTACTGGCTAAAAATAGCACGATAGGTGACCTTTAAGATTTAGTTATTTCGTTTTTTAATTTGACAGAAAGCATTTCCTCTTGCAGTGGAGTGCTGTAATATTTAATAGTTAATTAAAGTCATTCATAATTCTGCACTGTACCTGCTAGCAAGATGTCAACATCATCTTCATCAACATCTTCATAATCATCATCGTCTTCGTCATCTTCACTAGCTAAAGACTCTGATGTTACTTCATCATCATCTTCATCACCATCGTCGTCTTTTTCAGCGTCAACAAATGGTACTTCTCCTTCCTGATCCAAGGTGAACTCAAACGAGTCGATAACTTCATCATCATCTTCATCATCATCTTCATCGTCGGTCGTCTCAAAGGAGATGTCTTCACTGAGGATGGTCTCTTCATCTGTCGAAAGAGCGAAGTCGCCATCGTCTTCATCATCATCTTCATCGCCTAACACTCCGCTGTCTGTGCTCTCCAGAGGAGGCCCTTCCTCCTCTTCCTCTTTATCCTCCTCTTCGTCAGGGACGTCTTCATCAATGACATCATCAGGTGTGTCATCGTCAAGGTCAATTTGGAATTCTTTGGCAAGGTCAAAGTCGAGATCTTCGTCCTTGAGATCAACGTCTTCATCATCGTCTTCATCGTCTGCAAAGTGGTCGGAGGAGGCGACGGAGAAGTCCTCGTCTGATTGGTCTTCATCTTCATCATCCTCTTCAGCTTTGACATCATCAATGGTGTCTTCAACAAGTTTGACATCTTCATCATCATCATCATCCTCGAGCGCAGGTAAAGGAGGAAGCTCTTCCTCTTCAGGGAGTTTTAGATCATCATCATCTTCATCATCTTCATCATCCTCACTGGCAGCAGGAATAGGAGGAAGATCAAGCTCCAGGTCTTCATCGCTGTCTTCTAAAAGGATGTCGTCGCTGTCGGTTGTCACAACACCCTCCGCTAATCTGTCATCTTCATCATCCTCTTCGTCACTGGAGAGAAGGGCAGATTCACTGACGTCCGAGGAGTCAGTGAATGCATCGTCATCTGAGTCGTCTTCATCGTTATCTTCATCAGTCAGAGCAACGTCTTCGTCGCTGTCCTCTTTGTGTTTGTCTTCATGTTCATCAAGAAGGGCGACATCTTCATCACTGTCGTCGACGGCAACAGGAGCATCAGACTCAGAGTCAGGAGTCACCGCCGACTCTTCATCCTCTGACGTGGAGATGGGTTCAGGAGAAACTTCATCATCTTCATCGTCATCATCAGCAGCAGCTGCAGGTTCAGACTCTTCATCATCATCGTCATAATCATCATCATCATCATCAGCAGCAGCATCTGCCTTCTCTTCATCGTTATCGTCATCATCATCATTGTCAGCATCAGCAGCTGCACGTTCAGACTCTTCTTCTTCATCATCATCTTCTTCATCATCATCATCATCTTCCTTGTCAGCCTCTTCTCCTGCTGCCTCCTCCTTCACGTTGTCATCTTCATCATCATCATCATCATCATCANTCCTCCTCCTCCTCTTCCTCATCCTCAGCAGCTTCTGCCCCTTCATCCTCCTCCTCCTCCTCCTCTTCCTCATCCTCAGCAGCTTCTGCTCCTTCCTCCTCTTCCTCCTCTTCCTCATCCTCAGCAGCTTCTGCTCCTTCCTCCTCCTCCTCCTCCTCCTCTTCCTCATCCTCAGCAGCTTCTGCCCCTTCATCCTCCTCCTCCTCCTCCTCTTCCTCATCCTCAGCAGCTTCTGCCCCTTCCTCCTCTTCATCCTCTTCCTCCTCTTCCTCATCCTCAGCAGCTTCTGCTCCTTCCTCCTCTTCATCCTCCTCCTCCTCTTCCTCCCCCTCCACTCCTTCCTCCTCTTCCTCCTCTTCCTCCTCTTCCTCCCCCTCCACTCCTTCCTCCTCCTCCGCCTCATAATATTTTTCATACTCCTCATCGTACTCTTCCTCATCATCCTCATAGTACTCGTCATCGTCCTCATCATCCTCATCATCCTCATCATCCTCATCATCCTCCTCTTCCTCCTCTAGTTCTTCCTCTCCCGCCTCCTCCTCTTCCTCCTTCGCCGCAGCAGCAGCCTCCACTTCCTCCTCCACTCCTTGCTCTTCCTCTTCCTGTTGCAGGTCTTCATCTTCATCTTCCACCACCTCTATCACTGGCTGGCTGGCCGGTGCTTGCATCCCGATGACTGGAGAAAACAACAACATATATTTAATCTACTAATCCCTTTGAATGATGTGGCTTTATATGATAATCTAATGCTCCGTCACAAAGACTTGACCTCCAGCGCTGTAACAAAGGAGCTCATGAGATTTGAAAAGGACAATTAGCATCCGATGTATCAACAATAAAACATTCTAAAGTTACTTTATCGGTAAAACATCAATCTCTAACTCGAGGGTCTCACCTTTACTTCGGGACGGTAGAAACTCTCCTAGAACACAGAAGTAGAAATCAAAATCAGCGACACAACGTAACAAAACCACGGATTACGTCTGTTGGGGAATAATTTACTTAGATATTCAACCTTCGACACAGTTCATCATTTTCTCCTCTCACTGTCTCTTTCCCATGGCATAGGTCTACAGCCTTGGGTATTGCTGCTATCTCTCTTAAGGGGGAGGAGCTTGGGTATTGCTGCTATCTCTCTTAAGGGGGAGGAGCTTGGGTATTGCTGCTATGTCTCTTAAGGGGGAGGAGCTTGGGTATTGCTGCTATGTCTCTTAAGGGGGAGGAGCTTGGGTATTGCTGCTATCTCTCTTAAGGAGGAGGAGCTTGGGTATTGCTGCTATCTCTCTTAAGGGGGAGGAGCTTGGGTATTGCTGCTATGTCTCTTAAGGGGGAGGAGCTTAGATATTGCTGCTATCTCTCTTAAGGGGGAGGAGCTTGGGTATTGCTGCTATCTCTCTTAAGGGGGAGGAGCTTGGGTATTGCTGCTATCTCTCTTAAGGGGGAGGAGCTTGGGTATTGCTGCTATCTCTCTGA